ATTAATATACATCATATCTGTATATATATTATTGCTATTTTGAAATAAGTTCTTAAAGTTATTTTTCCTAAAACGTAGAACAGTAAATAAAGAAGTAAAGCAAACAAATATCTCTTTTAGTTATGACCTTTGTACTCAGTTGCCGCTTGACGTAGGTTGCTAAGCCTTTAAAAAATTTGCACGTGGAGGATATGAAACCAAATTTTTTTTAGGTTTTTATATACTTTTGAATAACTAAAAAATCATAAATTACTATGTCAATACCATAGAATTCTACTATAATTTATCAAACTTAGTAATTAAGCTGTATTTGGGTGTAAAATAAATATGATATTTTGAGCAGACTAAAGAAACAACCTACCTCATTGAAATCTTGGTTCAAAATTAAGAAATGGCATTAGGTACGTTAGATAGGCTGAGAAAGCCACTAGGGGGACATTTTGAGCTTCAGATTGGTCATTCATGTCACATATAGAAGTAAGTGTATATAAAGGAGGGTTTCCAAAAATGGAAAGAGGTGAGTGGGGTGCCACTGTGTTTGATTTATTATTTGAGCAATATCTTAGCAAATAGAAAAGATAAGACCTTCTTATTTTATATTATAGCTTGTCAGTGTATATAATTTGAATTTCTAATTCATATGAAACTATAGACTTAGTATTTTGACTTCACAAACATCTAATTTGAACCAGTGCTGTATTCAGTACACCACGTGGCACACAAAAATCTATGTTTATCTGTGTTTTTTTTATATTTACTTTTGAATTAACAAATTAAGTAATTTATAGTTCTAAAATTTGAATTATAATCTACAGTTTGATATCAAAGTTATTGACATAAATTCATGAAATAGTAGTTCAATAAAATTTTGAAAGCGAGTCAACAAATGAGGTGATATGGCCTTTCATCTGTGACCTGTCTCGAAAGGGTTAATCGGTTGCCCATTTGCATGTATCTCTCTTTTTTTGTTGACCATTCTATTGCCACAGTTAGTGTACTTAATGTAAACTTTCTGTAACTTTTCTCTCAGCTACTTTAGTTGTTGTTTATATAAACAATTGATGTTGCAACTTGTTGCTGTGTCTCATTCAGCTTGTTACATGACAGTTTCTTATTTGGGATAAATGTCTTGATAAAGCTTCTATTATACACTCGTTAATGTGCATATTGTTGATGCAACTTACAGATATGTATGGCATACATAGGAAATTTCATTTTCTCTGCTAAAAGTATTTGTAATGTTGATAATTTGATAAAATGCCTCAAATGCTTCACATGTGTAACCTTGCACAAATATCCAAAACAGAAAAACCAAAATAATAAACTAGGAGTTACACTTGTAATTTAGCTTTTTAACAAAATTCAGGACTGTAAAGACATGAAGAGATGAGCAGGATGGCAGAAAAACTGTAATATTTCTCCTTTCCACAACAAAAAAATAGAAGCATTGCTAGGTACTTAAAAGATTCAGGGCTTGTACCCATAGGTGCAGTAATTTTTGGCATTTCATTATGATATCAATCATGGTTTTTCTATTCTGAGTTTTCAAGACACCAACTAGGGATGTGGGGCACTGTCAAATTTAATCTGGGCATGGGCCCCATGTTCCAGTGCCTACAGATCTCTCTGAACAAAAATATATCTTTACTTTCAGATAAATATTTCTACATTTTTGTGCTGGTGTTCTGCATATCATATAGTTAATTGATATTCCTCTAAATAAAATGTAAAATGAGAATCTTGTGTCAATTGTTCAGTTAGGGTTATACTTGTATGGTCCTGTTTTTGTCTCACCATTCCTCATGGAGTATGGTTGCACCCAAGTACAGAGGTGGCACAGGTTCTTGTATGATTTAGTTTTGGTAAGAGGTGGAATTGCCTTCCTTGGATACATAATTAGAGCAATCTTGGTTCTCACTGGGGATTGTGGGATATCACTACGAACTTGCTGTATAGCTTAACAATGAGATATGCTAGTAGGATCCTTGCTCTGTCTTTGTCTTGAGTACATCCGCTTTAACTTAGTCCAGGAATCAGACATTAGAGTTAGTTGGTAAAACCTCAGCAAAACTTTATTTGTATTGTGAATAAAGATTCTTGTTTTATTTGTTTGCTTCTTTTCCTTTACCATCTGAGTTTATTTTACTCTCTGCTTAACTAATCCTGAAATCTATAGTATTTCATGGTCTTGTATCAAAAAATAAATGTTATTTTGAATATGTCAACCTGAAAATACCAAAAATGCTTGTGAGAACTGTTGTGCACATATGTGAACAGCTGTTGTGTAACATCTTTAATAAACTGTTTAAAACATGACATATTTGGAAGGCTTTATTTACTGATGATTCTATATTCGATATCCACAGTGTTGGTGCTTTTTGTTGTATGCATTACATATATTGTAAAATTATGAAGAGTTATGTACTGTTTTGCTTCTTGCAGTTTACAGCTGTTATATTCTCTGACAAAAACAGTTTGTTTGTTTTTTCTGAAGAAAGGCAAAAGCATCAAGTATTATCGTGATTTCTCTGTTTTGGTTTCTCCTTACATGTGTAAAAATAAGAGATGTTGTTGTACACATTGGTTCTCAGACTTTTGGAGCTTCTGTACCCTTTTTTACAAACTTAGTACAAATTCACGTACTTTCATGATTCTGATACTGAAAATGAACACAAAATGACATATCTTCAGCTATAAAATTGTTTTCTTAAATAATTTTTTTCACTGAAGTTATTACTGATTCTGTTGTTACTAACTATAATTCACAAAGTTCAAATGTATAAAATATTACTTAATCCTATCGATGTGGGTCATTGAATTTGTTGACTCGCATTCAAAATTTTATTGAACTACTATTTAAATTTTAATATTATACATATTTAATTTCTTAATTTAAAAGTAAATATTAAAAAACAACCTAAGTATCGATTTTGTGTGTCACGTGGTATGTTGAGTGCAGCATTGGTTCAAATCAGATGTTTGTGATGTCCAAATACAACGTCTCTAGTGTCTGTCAATTTAAATACTCAAATTACTGATATTGACAAGCTAGAATATATAAGAACATCCTGTCTTTTCTATTTTCTGAGATATTAACATATTTATTGAATCAACCTATCTCTTCAATTTTTGAAAATACTTGTTTACGTACACCTTCTTCACCCAATGGCGTGTATATAACCAACTGAAAGCTCAGAATGTCCCCCTAGTGGCTTTATCAGCCATTTTGAAATATTAGGGTGTCAATCTCGTTCTTTTGATATAAGATTTCAAGCTGGTAACATAAATCTTTAGTGAGCTTGAAATTTCATATTTTTTTTAGACCCAAACAGCTCAGTTACTAAGCTCGATAAATTATAATGGAATTCTATGGTATTGATGTAGTAATTTATGATTTTTTGTTATTTCAAATGGATATATAAAACCTAAAAAAATTATTTTGTATCACATCTTCCACGTGTAAAATTTGATGAGGCTTAGCAACCTACAGCAAGCTGCAAACAAGTACAAAGTTCGTAACTGGAAGAGATAATTGTTTCCTATACTTTGTTATTTACTGTTCTATGTTTTAAGAAAAAATAACTGAAACATAAGGACTTATTTGTAAATAGTAATAATGCATATACATATATAATGTATTATAACTGAAATGTGATTGTATTTTACAAAATACTAGTCCACTAAAACACAGCAATGACAGGTCACTTTCTAAAGGCCATTTTTATGTTCTTATATACGATACCAAGCAGATGCGCCTT